TATTTCGCTTTCTCGTTCGACTTGCAAAAAGCATTACCGTATCCCAAGTTGACTACCTCAGTAGCATATTACAAACGCAATATGTATGTTCTAAATTTGGGTATTCACAATTTTCACAACGATAATGTTTACATGTACGTTTGGGATNAAACTATTGCATCCAGAGGTGCTCAAGAAATTGTTTCATGCATCCTAAAACATGTTAAAAATTTAAAAACTGAAAGACACATTATAGCTTACAGTGACATGTGCGCCGGGCAAAATAGAAACATTAAAGTAACTTTAATGTGGTTAAAAATTGTCCAAACTTTAGAAAATAATGTGGAAATCATAGATCACAAATTTTTAATATCAGGACATTCGTTTTTACCAAATGATAGAGATTTTGGCGTGGTAGAAATGTCATTAAAAAAACTTATTTACTGTTCGTTCCCCAAAATTATTACAATATAATTAAAAAGTGTCGAAAAGGTAATAACTTTATTGTAAATGAAATGAGACAAGAAGATTTTCTATCAACAAAATTATTAGAAGACGCAATTTTTAAAAGGGTAAAGAATTCTGATGAAGAATCAATAAACTAGTTAAAAATATGTTGGATGCGTTTTGTCAGAAATAAACCGTATAAAATTTTCTATAAGACATCAATGAATAAGAATGAAAATTGTAAAGTCCTGAATTTATTACCACGTCGGGGTAGACCAAGAAAGTTCGAAAATATTGTATTGACACCACTATATAAAAATAACAGACAAATTACAACAGCAAAATTCAAGGACATAATTGATCTATTACGATATATACCACCGGAACATCATGATTTCTTCAAATCCCTTTCACACACACAAAATGTAGATGAGTAGTAAATTGATTTGTAATAAATTTATGTTTGTAATTTTGTACGTTATGTAGTTANAAAATGTTTTNAATCGCATAAANTATGTTTCCGAAGTATTTTAAGATATGTAAAATAAATTGAGTATTGTTTTTTTCAATTTGAAGCATCTTAAATTATGTTGAATGGACTTGGGCACTCTCAACTTTTATAATGAATCTGGTTGTTAATTTTGAAAGTGGCCTAACTCCATTCTTGCTAAGAAAACACATATTATTCACTTAATAATTGCTACTATTTTAATAGGAACTATAAATTTAACACCCTTAGATACATTTAAGCAGTACGACACATTAGTATCCTGTACGTATATTTTTACTTGCATTAAAACACAAACCCTTAAATATCTCAATTTAAGTATAAATGGACTTAGGCCACTTTCAAAATAAACGGCTCATATATTTATTATATATTATGTTATTTTTAATCAGAAAAAAATTTAATACATAAAAAGTAATCACTTTACTAAATTGTACGTGGCTACTTATCTATAAATAAATAAAGCTATACTTACCTATAAACAATGTATTTAAAGATAAAGTAATATTCAAAAAAACAAACGTTATTATAAAACATATTATTATAAGGAACGGGTAAATTTTACTCAACTTTGTTGTTAGAACGTTATTTAACCGTTTTATTGATGTCATATTGTGTGAAATTCAATATATAAGTTGACATATGACAAGTCAACGCGACATCTAAATGACGTCATATCGGCGACGACAACTTTTGGTATTGTAACTGACGTCAAAATGACAAACCATTTATGTTACTTAACGTCGTAGTCATCAAAATCACTTTACAATCACGACATTATCACGTAAGTTTGCTAGCTGGGTTGGTAGATGTCAGCGTTGGTATTACGAGTGTATTTCTAAGTGCGTACATACAAGCAAAAACGCAATTATGTAAATCGCATTTTAATAATAGGTGATTATTTTGTATAATTACTTTCAAGTACATGTAAAACATTATATCTCTCTCTATACTTTCTATTTTTTAAACGTTTAACTATATACATATTTTCTTAAGTTAAGTTTTCGACATATTTTATTATTTTGAAACAATCTGTAAAGTGTCGTATGTAAAAATTGTCATTTACGTTATTGTAAAAACTGCAGTATGTGGTCCATTTATTCCTGAAAATGGAATAAACCACTAGCAATTGGAGATAGTCGGAACACTTAGTTTTATCGGCTTTTTCAGTATGCCTACAAAATATAACCGCAAATATGCCNTAAAAAGACAAGTAGGCCAAAGAACAATAACAGGTGTTAGTTAAAAGAAAAAAATGAGTTGAAGAACAATGTAAAGTGAGAATAAGAATAACAGTGCGTACTTGTAAAACAATAANGAAAGTATACCTAAAAGTAAAGGTAATACTGTGTTTTTTGGTAAAAGTGTAGATGGACCAATGGTGTAATTTTTCTATTTTACTTTTCTTAAAAACTATAATGTTCTTTGTTTCAGTATATATGCTAATCATAAGTTCACTACATGTAGCAAATTATACATGAATACTGTTTCANTTGCCCTAGTATTTATTACGTAATTCAAGTTTACAAAAAAAGTAGTCCATACTTCTTTCAGACATTCCCTATATTTACAATGTAGCCACGCACTTTTGATGCTTTCCAGAGTACTTTTTTCTATATCTGTAAAATGTGGAAAAGTTACTTTTTTCGCACTAGAATAAATACTGCTCATTGCAATACTCACATAACGTCAGGTTTCACTCGAACACGAATGACTACTGGAAATAGTATGACACATACTATAAAGAAACTAATTTTCGCCATATCTAAATGTTTATA